AAACCTATGGGGGGGGGGGGCGGCACCCGCCCCCCCCCCTCGGCCGGCGAGGGTTATATCTCAGCAACCGCTTGACCGATTTACATGCGGTAATTTTTGTAGGGTAGCTTCATTCCTTCTACCAAGTATTGGACTATTCCTGATGCATGTGGGTGACCCCTTATGCACGTGCCACGTGTAAAACGAAGAGGTGTCAGTTTTGTAATTGTTGCAATATCTCGGTAACTACTTGGCCGATTGCGCTGAAAGTTGGCATGTAGGTAGGCACCCACTAGGCACTGCATACCCATGTGCCAGAGTTGGGGTGCTGCTGCACGTGCGCACGTGCAGGGGTCGTTTCCAGATCTCGAGAACGGCTCAACTGATTGCGCTCAAATTTGGTACACAGTTAGGGATCGGTTAGTAGGGTGCCGTGCACAAGTCGATTGGGACCCATTTTGCACGTGCGCACGCCGCACGTGCAGGGTGTTGCTACCAGATCTCGAGAACGGCTGGGCCGATTGTGCTCAAATTTGGCACATCGCTAGAGACCGGTTAGTAGGGTGCCATGCATAAGTCAGTTGGAGGTACCCCCTAGAAATTTCGCACGTGCAAGGCTCACCCTCTCGCTCGCTCCGTTAGTCGCCCCACAAGGCGTTATAGGGGAAGCCGGGGGAAGCCCGGGCGCGGGGGAAGCCCGGCCACCCCGTTTCCGGCTAAATTATTCGCAATAAAATGCTCAACTGTTTGTCCTTTCAGCGTGGCAGCTAAGGTAACGCCAGCAAAAAAGTTAAGGCTGACAAAAATTGCATATTGTTAAAGTTATAGCGCAAAAATGATATTTTAGGGGGTTTTAGCTAAAAAGTGAGATATGTTGCACTGTTAAGCCCGGTTCCCACTGGGCCCGCCACCCGTCAAAACGGGCCCGTCGCCGTCACCGACCGTTTTGAAGGCCGCTTTTCCCAAGTTAAATATGGTAGCCATGAAACGGGCCATCTGGTAGCACTTATCGTGACAAAAACAGCGCGCGTGATTCGTTCTACGCGCAGTGTTGGGAAACGGGGAGGCCGGCTGGCCGGCGGCGGCTCGCTGTGGGGAGTCTGTCCCGTGTCCGGCGGGCCGTCCCGGACCGCGCGGCGGTGGCGCGTCTTCACTGTGGGATGGTGGGGGTCACCCCGAGCGCCGGCGTCCCCCTTACCGCCTTCCGGCTGAGAGGGGTAAGTTTGTCGAGAGGTTTGGTGCAGTGTGCACGTGAAGTGAACGTACTGGACAGTGGACAACCACAGGTTTGCTTCAATTATTTCAAACACCTACTATCATGATATTTTCCAGACAGGACCACACTTCAATCAAGTTGACTGCCTAAAATATCATCACATTTCCATCCAAACCGCTGGATAATCAGTAATGTAATATTGTGCTGGGGGGGAGTCTAAAATACTCCTGTTTGAGCTGTTAAATTTGAGCATTGTCCTCATTGCTAGACCGACATATGCACCAAAGCGGCGCAATGCCAGAGGAGTTTAACGACAATTTCTCTTCAAAATGTACGACATTCTACGCTATTTTACTGAAATAATCAGTTTTACATGTTTTACAGTCATCTACAGCCTCGTAACTCGTTCAAACCATATTCACACGTAAAATGAGAAGGAGCACAGAAGCACCGACACGAAAAACGGGCCCGTTCCGCACCAAAACATGAATATTTTCATGTCTCCGAAACGGGCTCCGACGGCGACGGGCCCGTCGCAGTCAGCTGTTGCGCCCCGTCATGTGGCGTCGACGCCCGGTTCCCACTGAGCCCGTCAGGGACGGGCCGTAAACGGGCCCGTCAACGGCGACGGGCCCGTTTCGACGGGTGACGGGCCCAGTGGGAACCGGGCTTTAATGTTATACCATACAGTACTAATATTTATACGAATTTTATGTAAGGACCGTTTAAGTGTTTGTAGTGAGGGGTGACGAGGCAGGCTGGCTCAAGTATGACATTTTTTTCGAATATCGCTGTTCTAAAATAAAAATTAGCACATTGGGGTAACCCCGGGCGAGTGGCCAAGCTTACCCCCAACCGAGAGCAATGCCACTAAACCACTGTTTTCCATGAGATAATAGGTACTGAGCAGGTTTGGTTTACACGTAGATCAAAGATAAATTTCGAAAATAAACATGTTATCATAGACAAAGCCAGTCATGTCACTTAAGGTCAAGTAGGGTCAAACTACGTTTTTGCAGATAACGCGACAGACAATGAAGCTAGAGCTTCAAAAATGGTGTCGTTGTGTTCTTCTTCATCAGCCGAGTCGAATGATATGCAATATGATGCATTAAGATAAAAAGAAAAATAATTTTTAAGGAATTTTGAAATACACATTTTTTGTCAATTTTGCATCACGATTTTCATCGACCTGTACTGTATATGTAGTAGACGGTAGCTAAAATACCAGTAGTGACATAAACTCTAAGATGTCCAGAGCTAATCAGTACCTTAAAGGTAGTGTGCCACCTTTGAAAGATTTCCCATTTTATTTTTCCTAGGATAAGAAGCTTCTGTTTTTACCTAATATCGCAAAAAAAATCAAAAATGGGCCTGGAATAGTGCCTTTTTCGCCTAAAAGTTTATCGGTTTTTCTATATGTATAACAACTGTAGTGGGCTGATCTGTAAACAGGCGTCGGCAACAATCGCGAATGCGGCGCACATGTGACAATAAGCAAAGGTCATTATAGAGTTACGACGTACGGGAATGAGTTATCAGCTGTCTAATCGTAGACAACACAACGTCGAGCCTTAAACTGTAAGCCTGTATTGGTATTGTTTCTTTTATTTGGCTGTCGAACATTATTTATGGTTTGAAATATGATTTTATGTAAAATAATTGATATGAAAAAGCCGTCTCTTAAGTTATGACCCCATTTCACCACACGCAACTGGCAGAAATGACAATGATCAGCTGACGCATTTTTCTTGGCCGAAGTCAGAGCGCGCGGCCCGACGCACCACCACCGCACCACAAAGTATGAGCAGAAGCCGCGCCCAAAGCCAGGGCCCCGGTAACGTGAGGTAGCCGAGTCGGGGCAGCGTGCGCTGACCCAAGCCGGGGCCGCAGCTTTGGGCGCGGTCTACCGCATCCCCGCGGGCAGCCCCGGGCTATCACATGACACCGGGAGGACGCGCGGCCCCGACTTGGGTCAGCGCACGCTGCCCCGACTCGGCTACCTCACGTTACCGGGGCCCTGGCTTTGGGCGCGGTCTACCGCACCACCTAACAGGCGTGTTCGAAACCGCAGGAGATGATGATGAACGGGTTTATCGAAACTTGATTGGATGAGCATATCGGTAATAGCGATTTCAGTGTGTGCATTTATTGTTCATAGTGGTGTGAAATGTGGTTGGGGTACGACCGACAACCCGTCGGGGCGAATTTCGCGCTGGGGTACTCAAAATTTGAAGAATTTAAGCCGTTTCCATGAGTTTTGAAGGTATGGATAAGTTCTAAAAATCCGGTTCTCCTTATCTGGGCCATTAACTCCATACGGTCCAGGAAAGCTGGCACACTACCTTTAATATTTCACTTTCCGTTAATATTTGGAAAACACATAATGGTTTCATCAACTCGTTGTAAAGCGCTGGGGAGGTGGCCGGCGTTACCCCTATGCCGGGCTTACCCCAGAAAAATCAACACTTTTTTAAAACTCGATTTTCTCAACCTTATACTTATTCCACGAAACCGAATTTTTGGAAAACACGGCCAATGAACTTAGCTAGCTAGCAGGATATCAACATTTTATACAGCACGTATGGTACATACCTATGTAATAAAAATGAAAAAGAGCTTACTATGCCGGGCTTTCCCCGGCTTCCCCTACTGGTAATAATCGGTCTCTATTTTTGTGTCTTACTGTCTCTATTAACCCGCGCACCGACGGGGGGGGCGGATATCCGCCCCCCCCCTGAGGTTTTTCGCGAATAGCGGGAAAACCGCGGCGCGTAGCGCCGCGAAATTTGGTATGACTATTCCCTTATCAATTTTACACATGGTGTGCAAGTTTGAACCTCCTACCTTTCAAGGTCAGGTCACCAGGTCACTTTGAATGACCCAACCTCAAGTCACTTTTTTGCAACTTTGTCACCGTGCCAGAGCTACAGTAGATGTCGGAGGCCTTTGAAAGTCGCAGGATGTTATTAGGTCATTAGTAGCTACAATTTGTATATCTCGGAATTTTGATATCGGTGACCTAAGGTCAGGTCAATTTCGCGACCTCCCCATTATAAGTCAATGGGGGAAAAATCAACTCCCTGTTTTTACCACTAAAACGGGTCGGAATGGCCCCATATACCATACATGACTTCATATACGATCAACCTTCACTACCTTGAGGTCTGTTTTGCTGTTGGGCAGCTGTGAGGTCATGTGACGTCATCAAAGGTCACCAAAGGTTTTTGGCCAATAACTCCGTACAGGAACAAGATACAGACGCATGGATGGTCTCATTGTGTTCAGCTCGTCAAGACGCATCGAATGATATACATGATGACCTCGAGGTCACGTGACCTGAGGTCAACCTTTGACCTTGACCTTTCGAGGTCAACATATATATCATTCGATGCGGATTGACGAGAGGATCACGATGATGCCCTTAGTTTGTTCCTATCTTGACTAGTTCGAAAGTTATTCGAGAAAAACTCTCTCCATATTTAGCGCCGCCATTTTGACTTTTTCGACCCCTGTGACGTCATCTTTGACCTGACCTGAAAATGACCTTAGTAAAAATTGTAGATCTTGACCGTGCGTATCCGATGCCGTTTACCGCTTGTCGCTATCTTGCTTCGTTCTCGAGATCTCAGGGGGGGCGGTCATCCGCCCCCCCCCCCCCCGTCGGTACTAAGTTGGCGCAGACCCCCGTCGGTGCGCGGGTTAATTGTCGAGCTAAATGGACGTGATTATAAATGTGATTACACATAATCCTATCACTCGTATCAGCAGCTGACCGTTCTTACTAGTTCAAAAACATCTTTTGTCTTTTTGTATGCTATATTTTTGACATATACCTAATCAAAGCATAGGTGGTCCAGCCTCGAGTACGACGAAGATCAGCTTATAATTACCGTCCAATGAAGTAAAATAAATTAGGTGAAGGTTGACATAAACACAAACACTAAGTTGTTTTTCTTGTCTCTACACGAACGGTTATCATTAATCTGCTTCTGAGACAGGTCACACAAATGCAACAAAGTTAAAGACAATCGCATCGAAGTCTTTAAAGACTTCGAAAGACCAGAATAGGATACCTAACTTATCATTTTTGTTGCCACACCGGATAAGCAATATAAGTCGTCTACCTGTACTAAATTACATTCCAAAAATGCACTCTGGTTACATGCAACTCACCACAGAAACAGAAGCATCAAAACAGTCATGGTTACGGAGCGAGCGAAGCGAGCGGAGTCTTACGTAGAATAACGGAAATTTCTGAGTATGAGCGGCCGGCCGGCCCGCCGGCCGGCCGTGGTCACGATTCTGCGACGCTATATCTCAGCAAGCACTTGACCGATTTACATGCGGTAATTTTTGTAGGGTAGCTTCATTCCTTCTACCAAGTATTGGACTATTCCCGATGCATGTGGGTGACCCCTTATGCACGTGCCACGTGCAAAACGAAGAGGTGTCACTTTTGTAATTGTTGCAATATCTCGGTAACTACTTGGCCGATTGCGCTGAAAGTTGGCATGCAGGTAGGCACCCACTAGGCAATGCATATCCATGTGCCAGAGTTGGGGTGCTGCTGCACGTGCGCACGTGCAGGGGTCGATTCCAGATCTCGAGAACGGCTGGACCGATGGCGCTCAAAGTTGGTACATGGCTAGGGACCGGTTAGTAGGGTGCCGTGCAAAAGTCAGCTGGAGGTACCCCCTCGAAATTTCGCACGTGCAAGGCTCACCCTCTCGCTCGCTCCGTTAGTCGCCCCAAAAGGCGTTATACTGGTATTACATACAAGGCGTCATCAGTATCTGGTCATATTCCTAGCCAGGTCAGCAGGGTGCGATCACTTGGTTGAACTTATTTTGCAGGTAAGAGGTCACATTTGCTTTAAATGTTTACCTAAAATAATACAGCTTTAAATGCATCCTATAGGGAAATAATTCCAATAAACTATACCAAGGCCACAAGAAGTGCAAGCATCCTTCGTAAACACATATCCCTCCGATTGCTAAAGAACTGCCTTCAAAATAACCTAACTGATAATGCAAAAGCATTTCAGTCTTTACATAGCAGCGAACTAAAGCTCATCCAAATGTTTCTGATCTTCAGTCATGTGGTCGTCATCTCGCTGAAAGCCCTCCATGGACTTGGGTCGGCCTCGCTGCTCGTGCTTTGCCTGTCGCAGCGTCTTCTTCAGCATCTTCTTGTCGTTGAGGTCCAGCTTGCCGTCGAAGTAGGTGTGGTTGATCTGGTCGATGAACGTGCTGACCTTGTCGGGCAGCTGGCGAACGTCCTTGCTCTCCTGCTCCTCCCGCTGATGCTCAGTCACGATGTCTTTCAGCGGAGTCACAGAGTTAATGCCAAGGAACTTCTTAAAGCGACGCATGACAAAGTCGACCACCTCGTAGTCGTTCGGCTGCTTTGTGACGTCATTCTTCACCTGTTCGAAGCCTTTCAGGATGATTGTAAGCAGCACCTGCAAAAAATACGCTTCTTTAAGAAACAAGATGACAGGGCCATGGTGCAATGCAGACAAAAGAAGGCTAACTTCATTGCTGCGCGGGACGCGGGTAGCAAAAAAAGGTTGATCACTTGGATGAAACGCCAAATGTTCTCTTTATCTACAAACCGTTGTCATTCATGAAACGTCATAACTCATCTACAGAGAACAATTAAGATTTTATCGCCTTTAAGGCAAAAAATAATAAAACAAAATTGAGCCAATTATCGATACTCACGTTGACGAATATGATGTTCATGTAGATGGCGAACAAGAAGAACATCATGGCTGCCAGGAAACTGCTGCGGTACATCTCCATGAATTCAAACTTGTTCAGCATCATGGCGAAACACGACTCGACCGCCGAAAGGAAGTCTTTGAAGTCATCCATGTAAGCCACCAACAAAAGGTTGAACAGGAGACCGAACGACCCGATCGCGATGGTGAAGATGGCAAAGAAGCCGGTGAGATCGTTCCAGGTCTGCTTGAGAGTAGCTGACAGCATGCCAATACGCCTGTTGAAGCGCAGAAGCTTGATGAACTTGAGTGTGGCGATGAACACGATGATGCCGATGATATATCCGTAGAGATCGTCAAGCAGCTGAGCATAATTCAGTCGGACATACCCGCCTCCATTCGTGTCCTTGAAGATGGTCAAAATTTTGTCTGTTTCAATGAAGCGCATGATGTATACAATCAAGCCAGTAAAAGAAAGAAGTATGATGGCCCACTCAGCGTACGCCGAGTATTGTTTGAAATATTCTTTCCTTTTCTTGCGGATCAGACGAACCTCTCGGACGATGAAGTAAAAGATAAACAAAAAGTACAGAATTTCGCAAACAATCACGAATGCTTGTGAACCGGCCTGTTTCAAAAGTCTAATGCCGTCAAATCGCCACCAAGGATGCATCCCACCCCCAGGAGTCATCTCAACGTAGATCGTTGCGACACCGAAGAGATTTGCTTGAGCGTTGTAAACGGAAAACTCCACAAACACTGCTCTTGTAAGTGAGTCTATCCAATTTTCTCGTTCTAGCTGTGCCATTCTCTCCAGCACATCAGGTGTTCTTCCAGCGAAATGGAAAACGTAGCCTCCTCCACCATACACGTCCTGTTTGGCGACAATAGGCAGACCCTGGAGCTGGCTACCGGTCGAATAGCGGTATTCCACGCGGTTGCAATCAGCCCTGCTGCCCCGTCGCGTCCAGTTGGCACAGAAACTGCTGGTCTCTTCGCTCACAATGCTGGTGTAGCCCTGGCAGCCCCCAATCAAGCTTCGCATCCCACTGTGAATTGTGCAGGTGTCCGGGCGGGAGCGCACTTGTCGCATCGTTGCCCTGCCAACAATCCTATTCACTCGGTCGTCAAGGAAGCCTCGTAGCCCGTATGCAGGGGTTATGCCGTTATACCAAGTCTGTGCGCGCAGCTCTTGGAGTATGACGTTCTGCGACCAGTACCAGAATGCACTAGTATTAGATACTCTCGAAAAGTCTAACCACCTGTGAAAGTTGGTGTAGTCTCCGATTTTGATAAAGGCATTCTCCAGGTTCTTTTGCAGGTAAAAAGAGTTGGGATCCCTGTTGTCGTAGCTCAGGACAAAAAGTATCCAAAGGAAGAATGAGTAGCTAATGATCTCTCGGACAATTACACCCATTTCAATTTCTTTCAGCCGCTGTTTGCGCATTTTTTCGAGGGTTTCTTTGTCGTAGGGACTGCTTCCACCTCCAGTGGTGCGTGTTTTTCCCGAGGCAGCCGCGAACCATTCTTCATCAGGTGCCAACTGAGGGTCCTGCTCATCCTCGTTGGCGTCGTCGGAGTCAAGGTCGACGTTCTTAAAAATGGCGGAGATGACGAGAGCTGACAAGAAGACTTTCAGTGGCTGTATCAGAAGAATTGAAGAGAAGAGGGAAATGAACAGTGATGTTACCCATTTAGTCGCCTTCTCGTTTCCAAAGGTAATACCGTACGCGTAGACAATGAAAGCGGAACCAAACAGACAAACGATGCATAAAATCCATCCGATGATCACACCCCACCATGGCAGAGTGAATCTTCGCTTTTTCACCTTTTTGTTTTTGGCTGACGTATCACCATGACTGGAGCTAGCAAGTGATCCCTTGCGACTTGAAGACTCTTCAGGTTTTTCGTCGGTATCGTTTCCACTGCGACCGCTTTTTGCACCACCTTCAGTTTTTGCTTCTGACATGGCCTTGTCTATCCTCGACATACGGAGCTTCCTCGGACGAGACTTGCGGAACAAGAAGACGATCAGCAGGGAGGGGACAAACACTATGATGTTTGACATGATACCAACTGCGATTTGCTCTGGAGACAGCGAGAGCGGGCCAAACTTGATCGAGCCGGCAGACGGCTTCGAAGGCACGCGTTCGTACCACATGGCGTTCACCATCATTGACAAGAACAGCAGGGCGAAGCAGCACGAGACTCTCTGCATCCGAGTGAAGCGCGAGCGAGGCGGTCGAAGGAACACGGAGAACCAGAGGTGTCCGTCGGACAGTGACTGCTGAGACTGGTGGGGAAACACGGTGGCGAAGTCTCGCATTTGTTCTTTGCCGGCTACCGGGATCAAACGGTCGATAAGGCCATCGTCGTACTCGACCGCAAGCCATTCGTTGCAGACAAATGTGGTCATCTCTCCTGTTTGAACATTGCGAACCAGGATATACTGCAGATACCATGAGGCGAAGCGTCCCTTGCCTGAGTTGTCGTGCCAGATGCGAAGATACTTGAGATCCCCGAGATAACAAGGCACCGACATGACAAAGGCATCTTGTCCACCTTTTCTGAAAAATCGTCGTTTTGGCTTTCCAAACGTGCGTTTTCCGCTGTCGTAATCGTCGCCGGTCAGTACAAATGATACCGTTGAATCTGTTGCTGCATCTGCCTTGTGTCCAGTGAACACCATGATTTCGTACAGGTACTTGTGCTCCACCTTGTTGTCTGGTAGAGGAAAAGCTCCGAGCTTTTCAACATCTTTCTTGTCCTGCCATCTTGCCCAAATTAGCAGCAGAAGATATAAAACGAGAAGGATTATGAGCGTCATGTAGATCGTCAGGTTGTCCGTGAAAGAAGCATTCGCAAATACGTAGGCAAAGTCAATCGTATTAGGCTGCACAAACAAGCCTGAAGCGAACGATGTCAAGTGGGAACTGTTGCATGTGATAGAGCGTAGGTCTGCCTCCGCCACTCGCAAGCCCTCACTCGACCACATCTTCAATTCTTCGTCGTAGAAAGAGCATGAAGACGTGTATGTCTGCAAGGTGTACTCACTCATGGTGAACTCAGTTCGTAGTACTTCCCTACTTTTGACGTCGCTGAGTGAATTGCCTCCGGTGCTGAGACTGGCGATCGTGGCATTGTACTTCGCACTGGATGAGTTGAACTGGCCTACGCCCACGTACACTGCACCACGGCGATCGTTGACCCAGTCTGCGGAAACAAACCATCGATATTTTGCTGTAGCATTGATGTCGTCTGGTTCAAGAGCTTCCTCGTAAGGGAACTCTGTGACCATCTTCAGTAAAGAGTGGTTGCGTAGTGTCGGCATGTGACCAAAGCTGATCATCACGAATACGTCGTTGACAGGACCATTGTATGCCGTTAGCTCTATATTGAATGCGCTATGCGGTTTCGATATATTGATGGTTGAATAGACGACAGGGTTCACCTTTCCTTTCAGAGCATCAGCAGAAATGATTTGAGTAGGTGGCGCTGGACAGTCTGTACAATTCCGATTAGTTGCGTTGTTGTACGTTTGAGAAATCCTCATCAGTATTCCGCTCGAAATATTGGCGACTGTTACTGGCTTGAGATTGCGATCGAAAACATTTAGGGCTAGCACACGTGATGTGACTGAAATGCTGCTAGCTCCAGTCGCTGTCGTTTTTGAGTTCTTGGCATTGTCTGTAGCAGACACAGCAATTGGTTTGTTATCGTTGATGGTCATGTTTGATGGCCACGCTATTGTTGCTTGGCCGACAGTTTCGTTCATTCCGCTAAGACTCTTCTTTATTGCCATTTTTGTGGCTCCTCCTTTGGGGAGAGGTACCTCGACCTCCTCATCAAGGACCATCCGCTGCATGACTGCGCCCTGAATGTTTTGAACCGCTATATCAATGCGATCATCCAAACCTGACGTCTTCCCTCTGGCAATGTCCCTTACGTTGCATTTCTGTTCTTGTTCAAGGCTAAGATTTTCCGATATGGACTCATAGTCTTGTGCGGTGTCGATGGGCAAAAACGGTGCCTTGTCGAGGTCTGCCAGCGGAATGTCCTCGCAAGACTCACTGGTAGTGCTCACTGCCAAATGGTCTTTCGAGATCGATGCACTTGCCATTACATTCTTTAATAAGTCCAGCATTTCATCTGCAGTAGAGTAGTCAGCATCTGCGGCAGATTTGGACAGTGATTCCAGCAGGTACGTGGCCAGCTCAATCGCATTCATATCTAAGTTCAGGGAGTTTTCTGAACCGTATGACATGAGCGCATTCATCGCACTGGCTATCAATTCAATAGATTCCTTATACGTGGTTGCCATGTTGCTGATTGCCTGAAACATTCTGTCATTGTAGGCCGCCTTTTCGACGTCTGCTTGTTGAAGTTCTTCGAGCGTCATCGTGGTTCTGTCTGTCGTCTTATCCAGCGAAGCAACCGCCTGAATGATGGGAATGGCACTGCGTGAATCACCAGTGCCCGCCAAGCTCAAGAGAGCTTTGCTATCCAGGAAGGCTTGCAAAGCCTCCTCTGATGGCGCCTCTGTAGTTATTGCACAAATGTCCTTTCGAGCACTGGCGCCGTGCTGGTCTTCGGTAACGTAATGTAGCTGGTTCGTTCCCAGAAGCAGGCTAGTGTTGAGTTTTGGCGTCTTTGTGGCAGCCAGCACATGTGCCTCTCCATCGACTGTTGTGAAGAACTGAAACTTCTCAACAGGAAAACCTTCCGGGTCCAGGGGCGTCTGACACTTGATCGCAAATGTGTCGATAACTGCAAAGCTACTGCTTCCAACAGGTTCGCATGTGCATTCCTTTCCATCTACCACCGGTGGCAGGTTCACAGTCACAAAGTAAGTCACCTGGCCCGGGTCGTTGCCGACTACGCCATCTGACGCCTGCAGACCGATTTGGAACTTTGTTATTCCGGAGAAATCTGAAAACAGGGTCTTGCTGATGCGGACCTCTTCCGCGTCTGGCGTGGGAAGGTACTGCTCAGCATTCGGTACTGCCGTCACCGTGCCATCGGCACTTTCTGTGGAAAGCGACCAGGACCAGGATAGAGGCATAGGGCATTCGCCATCGGTACAACCGCCACGCAGTCCAAGATTATGTTGAGGGTTGACGGTCACACCTCCCAAGGATGGTGAGCAAAGAAGCTCATCAGCACACTGCACTTCGATCAATGGTGGATCGCCTCGGAGCATTTCTACTTGCACCTCTGCCATACTGCTTCTGACGTCCTTGCTGACGACAGCCGTGATGACGAAAGTGACCTGCTGGCGATACGGCTGCAAGATCTCAGTTTTCAAATCTAGAACTCCACCGTCAAAGTCCAACTGGCCAGGGCCCTCACCGAAGCAGCCGCCCAGATCCGGGCTGGGCACTGCAGCCGCCGCCTGTCTGGCAACCAGAGACTGAGGGGGCGTTGTGGCCCCCAGTGCGCCTTCCCTTTCCTCACCTGTTCTCCGACAGTACCATTTGAAGGTGAAATCCTTTGATAGCACATCATCTGGGTCAACCGAGTACATAAGTGCGTCGAGAACAATTGTTTGGCTCCACCCGCGCACTATTTTAGACACCGCACCTTTGATTATACCAGCGTAAAGCGGAGTGCGCTCGACTTTTAGATATGCCTTGGACTGGGTCTGGAATATATCGCCGTCTGTGAGACCCTCGTCTTGCATTGTCATCGTGTACTGAAGCAAATACAGACCAGGCTTCAAGAAATTCCTCGGTATGACCAAGTCAGCTTTGTCCCAGTGCGGAAGCTGGTGCATAATGTGTGCAGATTCTGATTCTTCTGTTTTGATGTGTATAACTTCCCAACGCTTCTTAGTCGTCATAGAGGCATCACAATTCAACACTGCCTTTGCCTCGATCACTATTTCTTGCGACTTGAGATAAGTAGGTGGATCTTCCCGCTCCTCTGATGCTCCCACGATGGAAACGGTTGGATTGGAACAAGCAACATCGGAAACGCTCACTAAGAGCTCATAGGTCTCATCGTCTTTTGGATTGAACACATTAATTGTCACGTTGTAAATACCTTTGTTCCAGTAGAGAAATTCAAGTGGCATCGGATTCCTCAGAGCTGTGGGCATGTTTACCGCTGATGGATATTTTTCAGCGCACATGATCTCGTCTCCAAATGTTGCCAGTGGAGAATTGTCGCCAAAATGAATCGCAAGACACATTTGCATTGTACTTGCCGATGTCCAGCTTGCCGTGAAATTCTTTAGCTTGAAGTTGTCTTCTGACTGTTGTTCAGACATTGCGATTTTCAGTGCGCTGATCTCGGTAATTGGGTCCTGAATAATCACTCTGACTGTGACAGGATCTGTCGTTTCGTAAGTATTCTCGCCGACAAATGACAGAGGGATTTCTTGGTTAGTGTTGATGTGATAGACGAATTGCTCGGCGGTGGGGTTGTCCTTGTCTTTGAAGGTGTATGAGGCCATCTCTATATGGCCACCGTCGGAGTCGTTGAACAGCGTTACTTTTGTCATGGTTCCCTGCAGAAGGTTGAAACCAAATGTGAGGTTGCGGTCATTCCGGTACTGGTTCTCATCCACGCCCATGCCCGTCAGTAGTTCTTCGGCACGTCTGTCGTCCAGGTTCTGTAGAATCAAACCCTCGAGGCCAATGATTTTGTTCTCTATCACGACTTCAATAGTATCAACCTGCTCACTGATTTTGTTTCTCATGGTGATTTGGACCGAATACACGCCTCTACTGTCGAAGCCATGGTTAACCGGTGCCACGAAGAACCCGTTGACGGCTGCTGAAGTCGGAGTGTTGTCCGCCAGACTGAAACACAAAAGTTATGTGTTAGCTATCATGCATTATAAATGCATTAGTGACTTAGAATGATTCATTATTTCCGAAATAAGAAGCACGCGCTGCCCCCCACATGGTCGCACTATTTCTTATGAATTGGCAGCCTACGACTACGAAAGCGAACCCAGTCAAGTAAAGTGACCTGTCAAGTAATGCCTATCACGTTACATACCTTCCAAAAGTGGCGTTTGACATATGTATGCTTCTGTAAAATAACGATATTTTACAGAATTAATTATGTAAGGCCCACGTTCATGCATCACCATCACGGAATGATTTAACAAAAATAACTTAAATAAATCGATGCTATTAAACGAACGCTTAAAAGCCCCAACTGATATGGAAATAATTATCAGCAGCTTGCGTGGGAAGTGGAAACCAAAGCAGCTATGTTTGTTCGTTGGATTTTAGGCCTTGGACCAAACTGGACAAAGCCTGAACTAACTACTTCTCTACTAAACGTTGGGCTGAACAGTCGATCAACATTGACTGTCCTAGAACGCAGCTCGCCTCGACAACTCACTTGATGGAAGCGTCAGAGAGCTGAAGACCGGTTATCGGGAACCCGTCTCCGAAGTCTATGTCCATGTGGGCGTCCGTGGGCAGCTGGGCGGTGCTGGGCAGGCGCATTTCAAGCACCACAGCGGCCGGTATCTTGGTGCCCGTGACGACGGCCAGGAACTGGCTGTCGGCTCCCAGCTGCGGCAACCACTCGGCCACCACCGGGTGCTGCACGATCACCGTCAGGTCGCTGTGCGCCGGCTGCAGCGGCACGCTGTGGAGGTTCGTCCCGGTCACTTTCAGTGTGAATGTCCCCGACGTGGCGAATTGCACCGTGTGCGTGAACACGTCCGCCGTGGTGACCGACTGCTGAATGCTCTCCTGGAAGTTCGCCACCCCGGACGCCGTGTCAAAGGTGTAGTTGAGCTGGACCGGCGCGCCCTGCGAGATGGTGACACTGAAGGTGACATCCACGTTGGACTGGATGACGAAGGCGCCGCTGAAGTTGGCGCCCGGTGCCGGGCTGGCTTCTGGCGTCACTGAGGCACTGTTCTGCTCTACCTGAACGGTGATGGTGCCGACGGGGATCTGGCAGGCGGTGGTGTTGGTCAGAGTCGTGGTGCTGCCGTCGGTGACGGTCAGAGTGATGTCGCTCATCGCTGCGCAGGTGTGCCCGATGCCCATTGGTGTCTGAGGGATGCCCACCAGCTCGACCATGTACCGTTTGTCGGTGGACGTTGCGCCGAGGTCTCCGGTACCGGCTGACGTCGCCATCCAGGACACGGAGCCAGTTGAGCAGGTCACCTGAAAACCACACCCTTTGCAGTCAGACAGAAAGACCACACTCATACATTTCATGCATGGAATGGACTATTTTAATGGCAGCTACACATGAACTGCACACATAGTGCATTGTTGCATGCATTTGTAAGTTAAGTTCCAATTAATTTTCGACCAGCTAATCAATAATCATGTTTATTTTTAGTAAGCACGTTGGTGGTATTCAGTAAAATACCTAGCGGTTTTAATCGGTTTTATCTTTTAAAAGTCACCTTAGCAAACCAGCCAGGCTCTGCCCAGGTGCCCGCCGAGGACAGGTCGAGCTTTCCATAGGCATCAGCGGCGGTTGTGAACGTAGTCGGTGCCACTGACGAGGCGACCAGGCTCGGAGCTGCACGTGCAGCACACGTGCCGTCCGACATGGAACACTGCAAAGAATAAGTCACACACGTTAGTCAGTTCAGTTGTATTGAAATTCAAGGACTCTTGCACTGGAAATTTGTCAACCTTTTTATGACTTTTGTAATACGCGTAATGTTAACCCGCGCCGTGCTGGTGGCCTGAACTTTCCGCCGAGTGCTGGGGGGGGGGGGCGTTTTCACGCCCCCCCGTCTAACTCGGCTCCTGGGCCACGTAGCGACACGCGGTAAGCGGCAATCGAAAGAGCGTCAAAAATAAGGACGAAAACACTTCGGTCATTTTTTGGGTCAGGTCAAAGGTCAGGTCACCAGAGGTCACCAAAGGTAAAATGTTGACTATTTCAACATTTTGGAAACTGCCAACGGCTATCTCGAGAACCGATAGAGCTACAGCGCCGCGGAAAAGCGCATTCGATAGCCCTTTTACAGACCTTTCTGAGTAATGTTCTCAGATTTGACCTCAGGTCAACGGTTTAGCCTCCAGAGGGCAAAAACTCCAAAAATAGCCGTTTTTACGAAAAACGTTTTTTCGTCAATAACTTTTGACTCATAGGCGCCATGACATTACTTTTGCCAGCATCGTGTTCCTCTCGTCGAGACGCGTCGAATGAACTATTTGTTGACCTTGAAAGGTCATTTTGAAAATTTGACCTCAGGTCAAGGTCATGACCTGACCGAAAAGGGTCATGTTGCATATCAGTCGATCCGTATCGTCGAGCTGAACACATCTGACGTGTTTTCACCGCTCTAGCACGTCTCTATCAAAAGTTATAGCCAAAAAACTGCTGGCGACCGTTCATGACCTGAGATGACCTCAGGGGCACACAGAGGGGTCACAGGTGCATTTTTCCTATTCAGTGTGTCATGTTTACCTATGAACCGATGTTTGAGAGCGTTTTGAACGATATTCGTCCAAAAGAGGCGCATTTCAATTTTCTCCCATTGACTTATAATGGAGAGGTCGCAAAATTGACCTGACCTTAGGTCACAGATATCAAAAATCCGAGATATACATTTTATACATACTGTTACTCATATCAATCGCTGAAAGTTTCAAAGTGATCGTTCAGTCGGTGTAGCTATAGCGAGCCTTTGAACTTTTTCTGAGGTAAGGTCACTTGACGTGACCTGGTGACCTGACCTTGAACGGCCTAGGTCTGAAATTTTCACAACATGTGCGGAAATGATGTAGGAACACGTGTACAAAAAACGGCGGCGCTGCGCGCCGCCGTTTTTGAGATATTCGCGAAAAACCTGAGGGGGGGGGCGTAAAAACGCCCCCCCCCCCAGCACGGCGCGGGTTAACAAAACGCTATGCCCCTAAACTTAAAATCTGGCCCTTTTTGTACTATTTCCCCTCAAAAGGCGCAAGTACAACGAGAACGCATATAGTGGCAAGGCATATCCGCTTAAATACAATGGAAGGCTACAGAATAATAATATAAATATAACTGGACACAATGCATCAAGTTTGTGAGTGATGAATAAAGAAGCGTTCTACTTGCCATCATTGCACTGAGTGGCTGGGAAATTAAAACATAAATACCTAAACAAGCGTTCCTTGACGTCTTATGATGATGCTATAAGCGCCAGGCGATTAAGTTTTCTAGCACATGATGACAAATAGATATGTCACCTTGTAATTTGTCATAAGTTGCATGTGCCTACTGCCTAGCAGAAATGAAGCTCTAATGCAACATAAAAATTGTTTGCACGAATGTAGGTTAGTTTCATGCCAGGTAGCCAGCCTTTGACTAAGACTTGAGAAACATCTATTTCATTCAACAAAGCAATCCATTAGATTAAAAACTACTATAAAGCTACAACGCGCTTGAATAGATATGTAGAAATGGCTAGCTATTACCGATGTTAGTTGTCGGACTTTCGTCCCCGTCTTGAGGTGAGATGAAGACGGGGACGAATCCGACAACTAACATCAGTGATAATAACACTTCGTCTCAAGCATTCCAAAGAATTATGGCTAGCTATTATTCCTTAGCATAGGACGGTTTAGGAATTTTTCCGTTTATCAACGGAATAGTCACTGACCTGACCGGAGAGTGGGCAGAAGGTCGGCTCACTGGCGTCGCACGAGTAGTTACTGGTTCCCGTCACCAGCGGACAAAATGGTGAACAAAAGCCCGAGCTGGGACAGAACACGTGGCTGGCATCGCTGCACGAGCCCTCCATCAGCTGAAAGCAACAGCATATCAGGGTCAGTCAGTGCGGGGCTCCCTTATGTTATTTTACTTTGTCTGTCTGTGAAATAAATTAGGTCGCAGCCGGAGAAGCATTGTAATCATGAATGACCAGTTTACAGTGCCTGCTACCTACTTACGTAAAATTTTGCATTACTAGACACTCCTCGCTCATTGGTGACGGCCTAGGTAAATGCATTCTTAGAAAATATAAAGAGGTTAAATTATTCCGAAAGCATCTTAATCACGCGTTTTACCATTGGCCAATACTTTTCGTTCCTCACCGTGAGCTGACAGTCGCCTGCTCCGGCTCCGTGCCAGTGCAGGGCCATCAGCTGCGTCCGCTGGGAGAACGGCCATCGCAGGGTGAACTCCAGCTCCCCGCCCGAGGTCTGCACGGGGCTCTGAGCCCTGCCCCTCGGCGGCGGGTGGCCCACACTCAGCCACGGCGCCTCCGGTGGCGACACCGTCATGGCGATGCTGTCATCGCTGAATGTGGCCGTCAGCTGGAGGCCGGAGCCGCCGACGGTCGCCGAGCAGAAGTAGGGCTGGTTGGGCTCCACCAGCGGCGGACAGTTGAGTTCCAGCAGCAGCGGCGCGCTCTCCACCACCACCTGGGAGCTGTTGCCGGCCCACGGACTGGACACGGAGATTGTGAACGTGCCGGGGCTCACGTAGTCCAGGGAGGCCGAGAAGTCCGTGCCGCGGACGGCATTTGCCGTACCAGCTGCGGACGGGATGGTGTTTTTCAGATTGCGTGCATGAATAGTTATTGATTACGTCAGACCATGTTTCAAACTTGAAACTGATATCAAACATACGATTGCGATGATTAACCCACGCCCCGCTGGGGGAGCAGAGTCTGCCCCCTCCCGTTTTTCGCCAATAACTTCCAAACGCGTTACGACAGCGACGTCAAACTTTCAGTACCTTCTCATATATTAATTTAACACGTTTCCTGAAAATGTGAGAAAAATCCGTCGGAAAATTGTTGAGAAAATGACGTTTAAGTGACATCATATCACGCCATTGTTGCCTCAAAAACGGCAAAACTTCAAACGCCGCTAACATCTTCATTTTTAAAGGAATCAAGACGTAACAAAAAGCTATACGTGATTCTACTTTGTCTATCAAATGGCTATCTCGGTTTTTTGAAAATTTTGATTTTGGCCCATTTTTTTACTGGCTTTTTTGGGAAAATAATTATAAAATCCAGAATTTTGAGTGTACCGAAAAACCGGGACACATGTCAGAGAAGTGGTCTATGTGCACCTACATAACAATTTTTAGAAGAATCAGTTCAAAAATGTGGGAGTTATTCAAAATTGTATGACGTCACGAACTCACGACATATTTTTTGAAAAAAAATGATTTTTTGGACGTTCTAGACCTCGTACAGACACCAAAATAGCACCATTCGATTCGCCGTAAAAAACTGCACCAGTTGGACACCTTTTTTTGGTCTTAACAACCAACTTCAAAATTTTACCTCACTTGGCCTGACCTTGACCTGACCTCGACCTGAAATTCATCCGGATGTGGTCCATATCACTTATTGAATGTGCCTATTGAATTCTATGAATAAAATTACCCATAAAACATGCATCGCACGTGCCATTTTCTATATTTCGTTTTTGGTGACCTGACCTGACCTTGACCTTGACCTTAACCTTGATCTTGCATGATATTGTATGCAACGAATATTGTCTTGGTAGCCTAATAACACGTTTTGGGCAACCAGTCTCAGTCCATTCTTCGGCAACTACGGTGCAAGGCCGATACTGTAGAAACTTGCATTTTGTACCCTTGACCTGACCTTGACCTGACCTCTGACCTACTTAAGCAAAGAAAGTCGGCTCTTAGGATCCGCCTTGTTGAGAGCTTTCGATTGCCGTTTTCCCCGTCTTTCTACGACCATCGGTCGGAAGTTAGATAGGGGGGGGGGCAAAATCTGCCCCCCCCCCCCCCAGCAGGGCGCGTATGGCTGAATGAATCAGTGAATAGCCCAGCGGGACGCGGGTTAAGGCAGATCAATGTTTGCGAGCGAAAATAATTAGCACAGAGCAAAATAAAAATTAGTAGTAATCCCAGATTATCTAAGGACAAAATTAATGGTAATTAACCCTCGCACGACCAGGCCATTTCTCATAACACGAACGACCAGGGGGGGGGGGTTGTTACGACCCCCCCCCTGGCGTTTCGAAACGGAAGGTCGTAGAGCTTAGCGGAAAAAACCAACGGATTGCTCTCAACGAGATCTCGCGATTGGTGGTATATTTTTTGGTCCTAGGTCAACATTTGACCTACTTTTGACCGGTCAAAGGTCAAATTTTCGGAAAAATAGACTTTTTTCAACTTTCGGCGGCGATTGCGGCAAAACGGTGGGAGATATCGACTTGAAACCTTCACTATCGTGTTCCTTGATCAATTCTCTATCGTTTGGTATGTATTTCGTTTCCCTAGCTCTAAAAATGGCGCGTTGGGAGCGCCGGAAGTCGGCAAGGTCACAGTCGGCGGCAGAAATTCGAAAAATCAAAATTTAAATTTTTGAAATCTGATTGCATTTTTGGATTTGGGAGGTCCATTTGCTCCCTATAGAAGCTAATATTGCTGCATATTCCCATTGAGGTGACAAGAATTAGCAAAATAGTGGTTCGGGCGCTTTTCAAAAATAGTACCGGACGCTGTTCCTCTTGTGACGTCATAGCTCCGTGACCTGACCTGACCCGGTCAAATTTCTTATACCATATGATAGCCAATACTTGCCCCAACATGCATGGGAAGTTTCATCACGATCCATCAACCGATGTTTGTACCACCGGCAGGAAACCTCGGGCGTTGGCACTCAGTTTGTGAAAATCCGGCCGGAGGCTGTACCTCTTATGACGTCATAACTCCGTGACCTGACATGACCCGATCAATTTTTTTTCGGCAAAAGATGCGCAAAGGTTGCCCCAAAGGGTATTGAAAATTTCAGCCCGCTACGACAAGCCGTTTAGCGTGCACTTTGAAAAAACCTCAGGGGGGGGTTGATACAACCCCCTAGGCGTTCTAGGGTTAAAGTTTATGTTTTTTTTCGGAGTTGTTCAAGAGGATAAGTACAAATATTACATTTATTCAGATATTTCGGTACTCGTTGTGGTACCCTCATCGGTGAAATGGCGCACAAAGTTTCGGTTCATAGTTCGACAATCACATACAATACAAAACACGCGACAACGTCATCTAAAAACCTACACTTTAAATATGCCTGAGAAGACATAATTACCTAAACCTAATTTAGCACCAAGCATATTACAGGCAATCTACCAGCTGTTGGTGACTTCTTTTTTATATAATAAAACTACAACTGTTGGGGCAACTTGTAATGTAAGGTTCACAATGGGCGTAATTGTAGGACAAAATATACGAAGAAACGATATGAGAAAAGATGGCGGCCGCTGAGTAAATACTAGAGGTTCTATAAGCTAGCGGTTTGAAGACGACGATACTATGTATGCTGCGGGTCTATGTTAAGAGAATGTCCCATATGGGGCTCAAACGGACGCCGCCCTCGTCAAGGTTCATAGTGGCCTGTGGCGTTAGCTTGACCTCTATGGCTTCTCGGACCTTGCGCCTCTTTGCAGTGACCTTCAGTGGCTAGCGTCTTGGCGGTGAGTGGGTTCAAGTCACCCCTGCAGGTGCTGAAGTGTCTTGCTGTAGCAGACTTGTCCAGCCGTGCGTGCTTGATGTCCGCGACATGTTCTTTGAGTCGGACATCCTTTGGCCTTCCCGATTCGCCGATGTAGACTGAGCCACAGGAACAGGATATCTGGTAGACTACTCCTTTTTTCTTTTCGGATTTGGGGGCGTCTTTGGCTTTGACTAGGCGGCTTCGTAAGCGATTCGATGAGTGTGCCACTTGGATTCCAATGGGACGGAGGACTTTGGAATCGGGAATCGGGAAGGCCAAAGGATGTCCGACTCAAAGAACATGTCGCGGACATCAAGCACGCACGGCTGGACAAGTCTGCTACAGCAAGACACTTCAGCACCTGCAGGGGTGACTTGAACCCACTCACCGCCAAGACGCTAGCCACTGAAGGTCACTGGAAGAGGCGCAAGGTCCGAGAAGCCATAGAGGTCAAGCTAACGCCACAGGCCACTATGAACCTTGACGAGGGCGGCGTCCGTTTGAGCCCCATATGGGACATTCTCTTAACATAGACCCGCAGCATACATAGTATCGTCGTCTTCAAACCGCTAGCTTATAGAACCTCTAGTATTTACTCAGCGGCCGCCATCTTTTCTCATATCGTTTTTTCGTATATTTTGTCCTACAATTACGCCCATTGTGAACCTTACATTACAAGTTGCCCCAACAGTTGTAGTTTTATTATATAAAAAAAGAAGTCACCAACAGCTGGTAGATTGCCTGTAATATGCTTGGTGCTAAATTAGGTTTAGGTAATTAGGTCTTCTCAGGCATATTTAAAGTGTAGGTTTTTAGATGACGTTGTCGCGTGTTCCGTGCGTGCGTTCTCCATCCATCCGTGTATCATGTCTTATGTGTCTTATTGCGCCTGAAAGGCGCCGCGTATCGGCGTGAAATTTGGCATGCCGAATCTGTGGGCGTGGGCGGCCTTGGCATTAAAATTTGGGCGTGATCGGACCAGGGGTGCGCCGTCGGCACGTGCAAAAGGGCGCTTCCATAGGGTTAACACGGGAAACGGTCAAATCGAAGATCGGGCGAAAACCGGCCTGCGGCGCCCGCTTCCCGGCTGTATAAATCGGCAACGGAGGGTCGCAGCGAGAAGCGGTTTACACCACTCGATAGAGGAGAGATGGGCCTAGCGTATTGACATGGTTTCATAGTATAGCACGCGCCACGTGCAAGACAGCACCCCCGGTTGTGAAAAATGACCGATTTCGTGCATTGTGACGGGAAAATCGATGCCGCTGGAAAACGGCTTGACGGAATGAAATCGGTGTTGTATCATTTTGCAGACAAATGTATGTGTAATCAGAGAATAGCAAACAAAAACTGATGATCCGTACCATTTCCTTAATAATGAAAAATTAATTTGAAAATTTGATTCGCGCGGAGCGCGACGTCCTTTACAACATCAAAACGTATTGAAAACGCTGATCAATCGCTATGAAACCTACATATTCGGAAAGAGCATTCTTTTCTGACCAATATCCACCCAAAATATTATCGAAAAGTCAATAAACTTTTGTGAAAATGACCCAAGCATGTGACCGTGTTTTGTTAACGTTACCGGTATTTTTCGACAAAATCCGATCGATGGCTTATGGCCGGCAAGTCATTCAACAAAGTTTCGGTTCCATTTATACGAACCGAAACTTTGTGCGCCATTTCACCGATGAAGGTACCACAACGAGTACCGAAATATCTGAATAAATTTAATATTTGTACTTATCCTCTTGAACAACTCCGAAAAAACATAAACATTAATTACATATAGTTCTGAGGAAAAGCTTTTTAATCATGACACTCAAGTCATATCTCAAAATTAATGGTGTTTGCAAACGGCAGTAAATAACGTGTCACGCTTATAGCATCACGTGACTTATACTTTGATTATGGTTTCCAACGACAGTCGCCATAACAGACCTCAAAGCCGGAAAAATAATAATAAAGAGCGTATAAGAAGCCCACAAAAAAAGAGGAAAAACACGAAAAATGAAATAAAAATAAGACAAGAAAACAAGAAAATCCCCACAAACGAACAACCAAACTTCCTAAGCAACGAAAACAACTCGAAGAACCAGCTTGGCCGAAATTGCCGAAAGGCGGCAGGCGATGCACTATGTACAGTCCACAGCAGAAGTAATGTGCGGTTTCAGTCATGGGTATGTTCTGCTTCTAAAGCTTAGGAACGATTAGCCAGACTACAATGAAACTTAGAATGTAGCTTATATGTATCGTCACCCTTGCAGCTGCAACTTTAGCTATTGACATCTTCTTTTCGATCACTCCGCATTAAAGTGACCATCCCACCTTAACATTAGTTTTGAGTTGAGATAGCCAAATTGGTGGCCATGGCCTGAAAATACCGGTTTAGGCACTCAACATCGGGCACTCACTTTCAAATAAAATCGCTAGGAACAGCGGAGATCCCAAAAAGTAAACAAAAGTAAAAGTCTAATATCTTGAAAACCGGTGAATATTTTTTCGATGAAATTTGGTAGATATTCGTTTTCGCTCTTTCTGAACCGAGCGACATCACTTTCATGCCAATTCATTAACTTTTTTGAAGGTGGGAGGGTCCCTTAAACAATCACCAGTCAAAGCCAACCGTTGAGATGGGTAAAGCCCTACATTACTTTAGCGGTGGGCTGTACAATGGGCTGAGCAGCACTCACCAAGCAGGAACGGTGGCGATCCGTCGCCGGGGTTAACGACAAAGTCGACCACCTCGGCGGGCGTGGTGCCGGCGGCGGTGACCGCCGTGCCGCCCGCCGTGACCGGTGAGGTCACCGGGGTCAGCTCGACCGGGCCGGACCGGAGCGGGGCGGCCTCGCCCGTCACCAGGCCGTCGGGACCGCCGCACTCCGCGCCGTCCTCCGTGCAGGTGGTGGGACACGAGGTCGCCGTGGTGAGCCCCGTGAGCTGGGTTCCGGTGCCGCACAGGCAGGCCATGCCGTCCTCCACCGCCGCCTCGCCGTTGCCAGTGTCCGAGCAGATCGTCTTACAGCGCTGTGGAAAAGTCAGATCGTCTTACAGGTCTGCGTAAAGTTCAGATCGTCTTACAGGTCTGTGGAAGTGATAGATCGTCTTACAGGTCTGCGGAAATGTCAGATCGTCTCACCGGTCTGCGTTAAGTTCAAATCGTCTTACTGGTCTGTGAAAGTGTCAGATCATTTAAAGGTCTGTGGAAAAGTCAGATCATCTTCCAGAGCTTTGGAAGTGTAAGATCGCCTTACAGTTAGTAAGAGAATCAGATCTTGCATGTCTGCGGAAAAGTTAGCTCGTCTTAGAGGTATGTGGAAGTGTTAGATTGCTTACAGGTTTATGGAAGTGTTAGATCATCTTACAGGTCTGCGGAAACGTCAGATCGTCTTACAAGTATGTTGAAGTGCTAGATCGTCTTACAGGTCTGTGGAAGTGCTAGATTGTCTTACATACAGGTCTGTGAAAAAGTCAGATCGTTTTACAGGTCTGTGAAAAGGTCAGATCATCTAAGAGGCCCGTGGAAAAGTCAGATAGTCTTACAGGTCTGGTGAAAAAGTCAAATCGTTTTACAGGTCTCTGGAAGTGCTAGATCGTCTTACAGGTGGTCTGTGGAAGCGTTAGGTCATCTTACAGTTATGCTGGAGAGTCAGATCGCTTTACATGTGTTTTGCTAGATTGTCTCACATATCCAAATGGAAGCGTTAGATTGTTTGTGAGGCTTGTGAGTGGGTACAATTCTTTTACATATAGCTGTGAGGAATTTCGATCTTATCCTTATCCCCGTCTTATTGAGACGGGGATAGACATATATACCTAGATAATTACTGTGACCCAGATTCTTGGACCCAGTAGCAACATAAAAATGTGAATGCCTTTGGCAATGGTTCGTGACCTTTTGAAGCGTCTGGCAGAATTGGCAGCGCTGTTTCATGGACTCGGAGATCGAGTTAGGTAAGACTCTGGCGCAGCAAAGGAGCAAAACGGTCAAAGTGACCTCCATTGTCCAAATGCATCCTTCCTACAAAATCAATCCTCCTCCTCCTTATGTAACCCTCTTCAGTGTCGATATCGCCTTAACAAGTATGTTACGGCTTGGAGCTAATGCATTAAATGAATTATTCGCCGAAAAAGTCGGGCCTTGGCATGCCATAATGACCGTGAATGGCACATAACGGGGTCCCTACCGCACTGTGGCGCTTCAGCCACATTGGGGTGGCCATCAGACCTGCTATTTCTGCATTAGCATCGGTTGGATTCATTGGCTTTGCGTCACAAGAAGACAACGAAAGCGTGGCCTGAACTGTTTACTGCGGGCGCGGGGCAACGGCTGCACACTGATTGCGTCCGCGGTCGGCCTGTGTCTATGGAGCTCTGTGACGGTGTACTGCCGTCGCCTGGACACGGGGGCCATCGGTACCGATGGTTTCAGCAGGCCGTGTCCGTATCGACGGCCGGCGCGTAACACCGAGCCCGCCGTGATCGGCACCAACACCGCCAAGGCTAAGGAATCAAACATGTTTCCACTCGCGCTTGGTTCATCCTTCTTAGTTCTACATATACAGCTTACCTCTTTTGCAGTTATAAACCCAATTTGGTTTTTCTCTGCATGACAAATCATTATGTGATTTCGCACTGCAATGGTTTAGTAGTTTCGCTCTCGTCTTATCCATTCTTTCCTGCTCACCTCCCGAGGAACATCGATAAATGAAACGCAAAACGGCATAACATCTACAATCTACGTTGAATTTGAACAGAAGGACCCATCTAAGTCCCCCGAGTGTGACTTTACCCTCGCAATTCGCATGTGTGCGGCGTTTTCCAGCGTCTAATGTGTAGGAAGGGGTTGGTTGAAACCCCACCCCTGCTGTTTGGCCCATGATTGAGCTAGAGCTTCGCGGAAAAAAAAACGAGCGTGCTGCCCGTGACGAGAGGAAGCCGATGATATTCAATTTTAAGGTCCTAGATCATTGGTAGACCTTCCAGGTCAGATCAATGACTCAAAAGTTGGGAAAATCGGCACCTGTCAGAACTTCGCAACTTCGCGGGACGAACATCTTTTCACATGTTTGGATGTCTACAATCACAAAAAGACCGGAAATGCGCGGATAATGTGAGCTGACATACGCTGAATCGCGATTCCGGGCAAACATGGTCTCGAGAAAGAGGTCACAGTTCAAAGGTTATGTAGGCCAGTGTCATGAAATTTTTAGAATATGTGTAAAGTTGATCAACTCGAGGGTACTTAAAGTTTCGTCGCGATCGTCGGTTTTTTGCACGAGTTATTTGCGAAAAACTGAGGGAGGTCCATGCGGCCCCTCCCCCTACATATGCGAGGGTTAATGGAATTCATCAATACCTAATTCAAACCCATAATGGCATAGTATTTACGATTCTACATCGCAGTCTAACAGACTCCTTTGAGTCACCGGGCTGTCGTCCTGCGACAGATGCGTTCTAACACTCACCGTCAGTGTGATTTTGATCGGGTCATAGTTGCCTCCGGAGGCGAGCAGGGATCTGAAGCCGTCAGCTGTGATGTCGTCCTGCAGACAGGCGCCCTCAGCCTCTGTCCAGAAGAGCGCCACGAGCAGCAGCAGAGCCACTGGGCCGGTGCCGCCGGGCTGCCACCGCCTCGTCATGGCGGCTGACTGAACGGCACAGACAGTCAACGGTCATGGGGGCTGTCAACGAAAGAAACAGCTGGGCATAGTGCAATAAAAGTGAAGGGATTTAGTTGAGCCACGGCATCATTTTTTTCGGTTTGAGGCTTTTTAGTGAGTAAGCATTGTTTTGCTTATACAAATTACAAACATCAGTTTAGAACAAACCGGTACCCGCACTGAAAACAAGTTGAAAGAACGTTATGCAAAAGCATCTTAAAATATTCCACACTTAGGTTTTTTGGGTATTAGGGTAAACTGACTTAGAGGCGAAGCAGAACGTCTGGTTCATGAAGAACACACACAGTGTTTCACATAGACCGAAGACACGTGCTGCTTCTTCGCGTGCAGTCTTAGTGGCCCCAGGGGGCTTCAACTCGACCAACACCGGTTCTTCTTCGTTCTCCCTAGTCACGTGATATTACGTCACACCAAGCGCGCGAAAGATAAACCCTTTGGAGGTTTTGCACGAACTAGCATCGGGTTTAAGAAGAAGGGGTTGTGGTTTAATCAGTGTAATGGCTTTCATCAAGACCACGCCCGCGGTACCACGTTCTAGCGTCCACCGGAAGCGATCGCCATTTTTCGATCGCGTTGGATCACGCTTTGTGCAGTGACGAGCGGCTGGTGCAAGATTGGGTGAATGGCAAGTAATCGAATATTGAAGAACTGAAATAAGGTTAATTTTTGGCTTGTCAAGTGTTGTGTATTATCTATATTACTTGTGATTGACAATAATAAGCAATATCACAACGCTCTTCAAATGCATGGATGAATGCATTGGATGAAGACAATTCATATGCAAGACCAATCAATGCAGTAAGTATTTATATGTTGTATAAATGCCCCATAGCTTAAATTATGCATGTGGTATTTAGACAAATCTTCCAAATGAAGATAATTCATGAATAGAATCACCTTGCCATTTTGGGGTCCATTGATTTAGGCATAAATTTGGCTGATTTTGATAAACATATGTTCTTGCTGATTAGTGCAATATTTTATCTAGCTGCACTTTATATGTCAAGTGCATTATTTTATTTTCGGAGTAGGCTCATGGTTTCTGAAGTCAATCTAAGTTTCTTCACTTCCTGTCTGTTGAATAACGCATCCGCCCGACTCTTCATTCCAGGGGACGAGGCCATCTCCGCTCTAATTGAGGCCCTGGAGTCTGAGGAGAGCGTCCTGGCGCGCGGAGACGTCGACATCGTCGAAAACGCTGGCTTGAAGCTGGTGGTGGAAGGAGAAACTGTATGTGATTTGGGAGAATGCGATATCGCCACCCGGCTGCTGACATGGGCGATAGCGCTATACATACTGTGTTTGGGAAAACATCCACTTGCTAAAGCTAAAAATGTGTTCATATTTGGCTCTGGACTCTGGAGTTCTTTGGCTTGGATGTGTAAGGCAAGTGACACGGCCGAATGGAAAGCGTTCCTGCAGGCTGATTGCGGGCTGATCGCATGGGCTGAATGCGGGCTGGTTGCGGGCTGATCGCATGGGCTGGTTGCGGGCTGGTTGTTCCTGACTGGAGACTTGCAGGCTGATTGCTCAGAGTAAAGAGGAAGGTAATACATTTTAAGGTGTATCAAGTACTGTGTTTGCGCAGCAGATGTGACGGCGCAGGTCGATAGCCATGCATGGGAGGTTCAATAGACGAATGAACGGGGATTTTGCGGTATTGCAATAGAACTGAAAGGGTTCTACAACCGATATTCAGAACACAGGGTGGTTTCCCTATAAACCTCAGGGACTTCTTCACAGATCCTTTGGGGTTCTTATCTAGGTGCTAAGAACGCTCTTATTATAAACCCTAAACCTCATAAGAGTCTGTATTCTGTATCGAAAAATTGATATCGTATTCAAACAAAGAAAACAGTACAAACATGCACCTCAAGTAGGTATACAAGTATGCACAGATAACAGTACAGCTAAGGCTGAGCTAGACACGATAAGTCAGGACACTGAGTAACACCGCGCATGAGGTATGGAGCCAGGTCTGGGTCCGCCAGAGGGTCGCGGCTCAGATCGACATCTTGTAGCACAAAACTTGCCCTCATTTCCTCATATATCTTTCTATACATTATAAGGCGAGTAGAGATTGAGCTGATGGATTTTGAGGGTGATGATGGTATGTCTTGGTGTCCGGCAAAAGAGTGGGATGCTGATGGTGTGTCGTAGTCGTGGGTTTCAAGCGCTGGGGATGGTGGTGCTGTTGGGTTGGATTGAGCTGGTGATCGTGGCTGAGGGAGGGTGTGAGAGAAGTGGGCCTGAGTGTTACGGGTGTCATGATAAGTCTGTTGTTTCGGTGTATGATGTGGAGCTGCACGTGGTGGTGAGGTTTGGTTGGCGGGGCTCATGGAGGAGGAATGATCAGCAGAGCCTCTTATTGCTACCGCGTTTCCGCGGATGACGGCAATAGAAATTTTTTGCCATAACCAGGCCGTCTCGCGCCTCTCGCCGGTTACTGCTGTGATCCTACGGCCGAGTTCCTGCACTAGGTTGATGGCACTGGGGCCAACAACGCCTGATGTTTCGACCAACTATAAGAGTCTTTGGAATAATTGGAGTATAAGAGTCTTTGGAAGAATCGTGTGGATTCTTTTGATGAGAATGCAAAGCCGTCTAAGTGAAGAGCCATGGGGGTTCTGAAAAACGGTGGCATAACATTTTACCCCACAGGGGTCTAAATACCCCTGTACTTTCTAAACGTTCTTCCAAAGTGTTTTCAGTGCGACTTAACGGGAACTTATCAGTACCCAGCCAGCAATTCGCTTGGGCTAAACTATATGGCAAACGTCGGGCAGCTTGGGCTTAGCTTGGGTTTTCCAACTGAGATAAAAACCAATGCATTTTTTTACTTGGGCTGAGCTTGGGCATGCCGCAGCTATGCCCCAGTGTGGCCAGCTGCAGCTCAGCCCGTCATCCGCCCGCGCATCCAAAGCAGGCCCAACTTGGGCGGAGTGCGGGCTGATCAAGCTGGCTGTCTCCTTTGGCTAACTGCAGTAAAGCCAGAGTTTAGCCATGCTTGATCGGCTGTTCACGCATGCGCATTTCTACGCCAGTCACGTTTTGGTCGGGCTTACATCGGGCTACCGCCAATCGTCGCTCAACTAGGGTTTAACTACGGTTGTCCGGAGCTCGCAGAGCGGGCATACCTCCGGCAGAGCATGGGCTTTAGTCGGCGTTTTTGTGTCATACGCCGACTTAAGCCCAAGCCCTAGCCGACTTTAGCCCGACTAAAATCTCGGGCAAGCCGCACTTTAGCCTGCTTGGGCCCGGAGTGAAATTGCTGGCTGGGTAGCTCCTCTAGCTTTATATTTTCTGCACTACTAGCTGGAGGAATCGTTTTATCAATCATCGTAATCTACCGTCATAAAACTTTCCTCCCTTTTCAATTTGTACCTAAATTTGGCGTCTGTGACTTATCTTAAAGTGGATACCCCACCTTAGCATTAGTTTTGAGTTGAGATAGCCAAATTTGGGCCCCTGGCTTGTAATTACCGGTTTGGGCATTCACAACGAGCAATGCCTTGAATTGGAGGTATTTAGCTTCGAAGTCTGCAGATTTTGGATTATGATAGGCTAATACATTTGAATGCCTCCTCAGACTTTGTGACGTCAGCGCAGGTCTAGCGATTTTTAAATATAACATTAAAACCTTGATGGAGGATAATTGTTGCTGTGGAGGTATATACCAGCTTGCACGCAACATCTGTCGCACTTTAAAGACACAAAATCATTGCTTCCAAATGACGTCATTGGAACAGCAGAGGCCCCCAAAATGTACAAAAATGAAATTCAAATATCTCATAAACCGGCGAATATTTTCGGTGAAATTTGGTAGGCATTCATCTTTGCTCTTTCTGAACCACGGTACATCACTGTTATGCGAGTTTTAACTTTTTTGAAGGTGAGAGGTTCCCTTTAACTCTCGCACTTATGGGCGGAAGGGGGCGGATGGAACCCTCGGTTGTTCGCAAATAACTCGCAAAAGTGGCCAGTTGCAACAAAACTTTCATCACCCTCGTATTTCAGTTAACACATGTGTTAACTGAAATTCAGGGCATGCATGCCCTGAAAATTTAATGAACCTGACCTACATGGCATTTGACCTGTGACATGTTTCTCGTGATTAAAAACGTGCCAAGATGTGAAATAATGTTTACCTCATGCATTATGGTGAGTGTTAGGATACCTTGAAATTCGGGTAAAAGTCATGAGTTCTGGTGACATCGGGTGATTTTTTTCGAGTTTTATTGCTTTGCTATATAGTTTTTGGAGCTATTTTCGAAAGCACTTAATTAAACATCTGAGAAGTATGTAGGCATGGTGCCTATGCAGCATATTACGAAGCTGTCAGTGGTTGCTCAGAGTTACTATTGCACGCCTAATGGTTGACTTGACATGACCTGTCCTGGCCTATTCAAAATGCATTAAAACACCATTGTTAATCAAAACTAGTATGAAATTTAAAATGAGTAACCCAAAACCACATCACGACCTCACTTTGACAAGCTTTAGCAGGTCCCTGTTTTCCCGTCTTTTGAGTCATTGACATGAGGTGGAAGGTCAACCAGTGACCTGGGGCCTTAACCCTCGCCGGCACAAGTTGATGCTCCAAAAAAACTGTTTCGCAAATAACTCGCGTAAAAAGCGAAGCGGGCGATCGCGACGAAACTTTCAGTACCCTCGCGTTGATCAATTTTACACTTACCCTGAAAATTTCATAACCTTGACCCAAATGACCTTTGACCTGTGACCTATTTAACTTTCCGAGACTATGTTTGGCCGGAATCGCGGTTCGGCGTAGGTATGTCGGCTCGCATTAACCGCGCGTTTGCAATCTTCTCGTGGTTTCAAGCGTTCAAACATGTGATTTGATGCTGCTCCCATGTATTAGGATGTATGTCAAGGTCACTTGAAGTTCAGCTCAGGTCATTGACCTTTGATGAGCTCGGCTCACTTTTTTGAGTTTTACATGTTTC